AAAAAAAAAAACTTGCGTTTACTAACCTTTATTCTAATTTGCCTTTTTTTTTTGATTCTTTTTCTTCTGTTATTGGTGTTGTTAATTTTTCAGAACCAAAAAAAGCTGTTTATCTTTTGTTTGCGCTAAACTATTTCCGTCTGAATTACAGAAAAGTTTACTGAGGAGACAAATTGAAAAGAAATATCGGTAACTAAAGAAAAGTAAAAAAAAGCAAAAAAACAAAAAAAAAAAAGGAAGTTTACTAAAATATTGTTGGACCTTTCGAAAATGTTCAGCATTATGACGGGTTGAAAATTCAGAGAGTACTTAAGAGCAAATTTCCTAAGCACTTAGCTGAGTTTTTTTTTTCGTCGCAAGGTTTGTATTATTAACGTGACTAATAATCAAAGCAGAAGTTAATGTTTGCTGGTAATTAAGAGGTTAGCTTTTTGCAAAGTTTACTTACCTGTAATTTTTACTGCTTATTTTTTTGTCTGTTTTGAGTAACCGTCAATTTTTTTTTGAGTAACTGAATTAGAAATGTAAGTAGGTAAATAAAGAAGATAAGTGCGGGTAAAAATCTTTTCTGACTGTTATATGAATCGCATAAGCAACAACCGACAAAAAATTACATCAGAGAAAAGCTGCTTTGAAGTCTGACTTTAAGTATAAATTGTGTCTTACAACTACTTTGACATCTTAGCTGATAGTCAACTATCGAGACTCGATTCCAAAAAAACTTTTATTCGGGAGAGTTTTCTTTTCAAAGAATTAGATTAGAGCAGAATAATAGAAGGAAAGAGGAGAAATAGAAGAGAGAGAGAAGAAGGAGGAAAAAGAGTAGGAGGAGGAAGAGAAGGAGGAGAAGGAATAAGAATGAGAAAGATTTTGATAATTTAATTCAGGTTGATTTTTGTTTATCAGTAATTCAGCTATTCTGTTTATCGACACTGTTTACCGCTAAACCAACGGAAGCAGTGGTATCAATTGGTGGTAAAACTAAAGTATAGCTTAGCGTTGGTCACGACGACTTGTTGATTAGTATTTGCAGTGTCTTCCAAATATCTTCGTAAATAGTAGAAAAAAATAAATTTTTTTTT